TGCTGAGTTCAGGGAGGTTGGTGGTGGGAAGACATATTTTTTGCAGCAGTATGTGTCACCTTTGTGAGTTCAGTTTGGTTTCTCAAAGAAAGCATGTAAAAAAAAGTTAAACAATTTTAAAGAATTAAATTAATGATTTTAATTTACTGTAGTCACATGAGTAGGTGTGGAGAAACATGACCTCCTCTCAGTAATGACTGTTGTTGCATTGTCCATTATTTATGACCTGGTTTAATATGTTTTATAAAAAATCTCTACTAGCAGCTAGATTTTTGATGAAAATGGTATTTAATTATGCATTAAATATTTTTATATTTGTAAATCACTTATTCTACATACATTATTGACTCACTGACAATTCAGATACACAGACGGATTAAATATATATTCATCACGACTGCACTTGTGTCATAATTGAATTGATTAATTATCATAAATACATTATATTAACCAGTCCACTGGTACACATGATGGAACAGCAGTCCATCTCATTTAAATGCATGTGTGTGTTGTTGTGCCGCGCTGTGGTGAAGAGGTGGCGGTTGATTGTGTGCAGTAGGTGTGGATGGCCTGCTCCATCACTGGTATTGAAAACACGGGGGCATCATTAGCTTCTCCACACACTGACAGATGGGCTGCTGCCAAACACTGGGACAAGGACAGAAGTTCCACAGTAAATGACATTAGACACAGTGCATTCATGGTTGGATGCATGTAAACAGTCCTTAAATGAATATTTTTACAATTTCACACATGATGTGAAAATATTTTCTTCAATTTACAACGAACGACCATGCCAGGCTATTTACTTTGAATTAATGGTGTCCCTAATTCAGGAAGGTAGGACTTCACTCTGAGAGTCAAATCTGAATGGGTTTGTGTGACTAGTAACCTAAAAAAAACTAATTACATCCCACCAAATGGTTTGACTATAAATATTTTTGTATCTATTGTTTTGCAAACCTGAATCTTCTGGTCTATTGTGTGTCACTGTTGCCTTCACACCAAAACAGCACAAACCAAAAGATTCAAACTGACACTTAAAGGTGTTGCATTGGGGCAGAACGTGCATCAGTGTGTTGATAATCTGTCCCTGTCTGCCATTGTTACTGTTGGCGAAGATAAGATCTGTGGTAAACTGAGCAACCAGCCGAAAACAGGCTTCAACGCCGCCTCACACTGGATGTGGTTCAAGCATTACCCAAAGAAGCGTCACAGTGCCTAGATGAGAGCCGCATTGTTTTTGTTTGGTTTTGTTTTCAGTGCCTTTACATGTGATTCTAAGGGTCGACTGTTTCAACTTCTTATTTGCTGTATTTACCAGCTAGAAATCCCTCACTCATGGCCTCTGTTCACCGGTGTATATAGAGGCCATGTGTGATTCCAGCAATCTTATAAGACGATCGCATAGCACACTATGCAACGTCAAGTTTGATGCATACGATGACTACTTACTGAATCGCACGTCACGACTTTCGTCAACATGTGTCATCAGAGTACGCCCTCCATCTGCATCACCATAGTCATAGAAACCATCAAGACAAAACTAGGATCTAAAGACTTCAGAAGGTTTGAAAAGAGTCAGTGAAGGCTGTGAGTCAGCTGTTGTTGCACAGGAGAGAAGAGACATTTTAGAAGATGATGAAATCAGAGGTCACAGAAACAGAGAACTAAAGCTGATGTAACCACATTAAAGACCTCCTTAAAAAGAAGGTTCTAAATCAATGGCCTCATTTTAGATTATTGCCTAATTGGGTGCAGGAGCCCAGTTACACACTTTCCTGCAGATTGAACATCTTAGCACGGCATTGTATTTTAAACAAAGAAAAATGTAAATATGAATGGCGTTGTACAATGCCCACTGTCCAAGCATTTAAGAAGTGTATTGATAAGATTTCCTATTGACCTGATTGTGTTTTATACTTTGCAGCTCCATAAATATTTAAAGAAGGCGTAAAATAATTACAACAAGTTCATTTCTGAAAAATCTCGTTAATTAATTCTAAAGTCTAATTTCCATTAAGCCGCCGCAGCAGCAGCAGAGGCAGCAGCACTGAAAGGAACCTCCTTTCAGTGCTGCAGAGTGAACAGTGTGGGCTGTGACACAGGAATCCTGGTCTATACTGTAATTAAGACTTTAACTGTTTTGGCTGGCTCCCACTCACAGAACTCTCCGACAATGTTCTCAGTGGAAAATGAATCATGCAGATACTGTAGTGCACTGTCGTTTGTCCTTAAAACTGTGGCAGGAAGAATTGCTTAATGTGGAATGAAGAAAGATTGAAGAAACTCTCGGACAAGTCCTGAAATTGTTATTGCTTATTAGAATGCTGTGGCAGTGTAATTACTCTGAATGCACTAATACACCTGTCAATTTATTTGCCTTATATGGTAGATTATGAAGAAATGTAAATCAAAATTTTCTGATTAAATCAGCCCCTCAGGTGCAGACTTTAATTACACCCTAACACGGACACATTAAAACAAACAAAAAAAAAAAGGTCCTGATATTATTATCTCCCCTATATTAGCATAATTATCTCATATCTGCAAAAATCGTTATTGGTTTTCCCTCCGTTTTGGGGAAAAACAGCTGCATGTGACAGTGAAGGCCACTAGATGGCAGCTCATTTTAGTAATCTATTTAAATAATCTGGGCATTATATGCAGAATCCTGATGCCAGCAGCTCTTACAGTTGTTTGTACAGATAAACAAATATATTTTACCAGACGCTCAAAAGTATTTCAAAACTTCTGTCCCCTAGGGGGGGCATGGCAGAAAATAATTAAGGATCACTGCTTTAACCCCTTACCTTAATGAGCAGGTGACACAACTTCCTTAACCACTAGGCCACCACCGCCCCGCTACATTGGTGTTGGTTGATATTGGAATCGGAAATTAAGTGTTAAGTGTGGTCAATATCGGATATTGGCACATATATCGGACATCACAAGTCCAGACTTATTTATTTATTTATTCAACATTTCCTCATGAAAATCTGACATTTTATTGACATATTATATCAACTGACCGAGTTTGTTTGATTCTTTAAGATTAACACTGGACACTGTTAAGGAGGTTTTACTTCAGAATACCGTGTTTGACTTGGTTTATCAAAAGCTGCAAATCTCCACATGTATTTCACTTGTCATGTTTTCTCTGTGTTTTTTCCACAGAAATTCCTTGTTCCCTCTCCAGTAGGAGTGAGTCTAAAGAGTGGGAGCTAATTTAATCAGCATCATGCTTGGATAAGACAGCAGCCATTTCTCAGCCAGTCCACTCAATGACCTCCAGGTGTGTGTGTGTGTGTGTGTGTGTGTGTTTGTGTTTGAGTGAGTGTGGGCATGTGTGTGGACAGATTGAAAGGAGGACTCGATTGTATCACTTCACTGTCCCAGGAGACCACTGCACTCCTTTCTCGGCTCCTCCACATGTCAGGCGTCAGTGGGAGGCTGACTCTCACATCTCCTGCAGGGTGGAGTTTTACAGGATGACAGCAGTAACCTCTGTTGGAGGTCCAGGAGGAGAGAGCGTTCACTGGCTTTTTTTTTTTCTAGTGTTTTGTGGGTTACTTCTTCAGCATATGTCTGTGCGTGTGAAGCCTGCTGCTCCACTCAGCACGGCACCCTGAGTGAGGAATTGTCTCGATGTGTGACCAGCATATTACATTCCAGACAAAAACACTGGCTGCAACAAGATATATAAATAATTTGTTTTCATTGTCTCTTGTTTGGCTTATTGCATTACAAAGGGAATTAGCTCAGACGACAATAACACAGATCTCAAGGTGAGCTTTCAACACAGACCTGAATTAAGTAGGGACTCTGGGCCACATGGTCTTGAAATTTACCTGATAAGGGATTTAACACCCGCTTTAAAAACATACCTGGCTAACATGTCCACGTAGACACCTTAAGAAGGAGAAAAAATAAGAGAGAACCAACGATGCTAATTGTTTTAGCTCACTAATAATTAAAACACTTTATCATTCACACACTCATTTACTATAGCTGTGATCTCAGTGGTTAAAGACCACATCATGTGACCCAGTCCAATTAGCTCATAGGTCAGTGGTCGTTCTGTTCTCTCTTCAGGTTCTTACCCTCTCACTGTAACAACCGTTTCTTTAAGAGTAAATTACAGGAGTTAATTACACAGTGGCCGCGTCTTACTCAACAATGAGACGCAGCCTTCTAACATTATAAATGACCTGAATGTGGCGCCGTCTCATAAATAAGCAGAGAAATGTAATTAAATAGTGTAAACACACTCACTGATGGTCAATTATAGAGGAGCTCCATATATCTGGACCGTATTTAGCTGTTAGCATACATTCATTTCAGCATGTAAAAGGATTGTTCCTCACTTCATAATTATTTTGACATGACTAATTTCTCTGCTGCAGTTTAAAATGAAATCCAGCATATGATAAAAAATGCATGATTAGCGGTAGAAAAATATGAAATAGGTTTTTGTTATAGAAAATCGCTCATCTGTCTGTTTCACCTAATTCTTTTCAACAGACCATAAATAACAAA